CTGTATGAATAAATCAGAGGACAGAGTGGAGGGTGCATGTAAATTAAGTGATTAGTTGCCTTGCCTTTTGAAAATAACAGCAAATGGTTTATTTTTCTTTGAATTAGTCTTATGAAAGTCAAAAGCTGCAAAACTCTATGCCACATCAGGAAACAGTAACATCCTGCTCTGGCCATTATCAACTCTTAATTGTTCCCAAATGCTTTCACTTAAGTACACAACCTGCATGCGGAGTAAATGCTTGTGGAATTCCTCAGTGAATATGTATAGACCACTCCCAACTATTCTGGAAGCCCTTTGAGAAAAAGAAACCTCTTGAACTTTTTATAGCTAACCTTTCCCCTGCCTTACAAGGCATTCAATACAATAGGTATTCAAATAATCATTCGTTGATTGATTTNGCGGGGACCCGACGGCGCAGCCCCTGGCTCCATGCCCCTCTCCCCCATCCCATTGCGGAGGTGGGCCGGGGCGAGGGCGCACCGTGGATAGGGTCCCCTTACCCGGGTGTGAGCTGGTGGACGGAGAAAGGGGAGCAACCTGGCAGGCGCTAGGACATTCGGGGGAGGGGCGGGGGGCGCACTGGGGATGCGCAGGGGCTGGCGCAGGCAGCGTGGACAGGAGGAAGCCAGCAGAGGGACACCAAGCTTAGTGTACCTTCGCGCCTTGGTGGGCTTCCCAGAGCAGGGAATGTTCGCGCTCGTTGCATCCACGGGGGGCCCAGGGGGGCGCACCATTTGGGCAGAAATGCAGAGGGGCGTAGCACATTGGGGGCGGTCGAGAGAGAAACGTAGTTCTACCGTGTGTGGCGGTGTAGTGTAGCAAAGAGCGCGGTCTGCAGGTTCCAGCCCAGCGCGACCATTTGCACGGAGAGGGTGCAGACCCGCTCTCTTGCCCGCGGGCGCCAGGTACCGTATCTGCGCCACTCGGCCAAGACGCGCCCAGGACCGTGTCGTGATTTGGTGTCTCCACAAAGCGGGGCCGGGGCGGTAGAGAGAAACAGATTGAAGCCCACCGCGCTCGATCTCCGGCCGGCCTTGTCCCCCCGCCCCTGTTGCGCACTGCGCCACAGCCGCGGGGTTCCCGGGGT